AGCTGCTCCTCTCCGCGCAGAGCTTGAGCCTTTATTTATTTAGTGACTTATTTGAAGAGAGAGATTTGCACGTGGCGTGTTTTTCCCACGCGCCGTGCGGCAAAGCGTGCCCCGAGGACGGGGGCTGGTTTTCCTCCCTGCGCCCCGGTGCGCGCTGTTGGTGCCCTCCGTTTGACTCCAGCCCTTGCTGGCGACGGCCGATGCCTGAGCCGGTCCGCTAGCAACTATTCGCTCCCTCTCTGAAGCTGCCGAGCACCAGGTTTGCCTCGGTAGTCCCGCGCTGGCCGGAGCGTTGCCAGCGGTAAAGCTGGTGTCTAAGCGGGTTTTAGAAGCTGGTGTTACCGTGAGGAGGAGCGCGGTCTCCGCGCCGCAGGGAGACGCACCGCCTGCCGCTGTCCTGCCAGAGTCTTTTGAATGTTTTACCTTTTGTGCGCTATAATCAAGGGCATCTGATTTTCATGTGCATTTAATGTATGTATGTGTTAGGCCTGCGTTTGACTGTTTGCAAATGTATTTTGGAAAGAATCCATTTTTGTCCTTGTTGACTTTTTGGGTTGTCAAAGTGCTTCAACTGAACACTTCCTCGTTTTGGAGAAATCGCTTTTGCTTGAGGCAGAGAAAGGAGTGCTGGTGAAGAGCACAGGGACAGCATCTGTGACGGTGGCGGCAGCAGCGTGGCTGGTCGGAGGGAGGGATGCTGAGAGCAGTGAGGTGCAGTTGGTTTCTCTTTCTGAAAGATGCTGCAGAATGGGAGTTTGATAGTGCAGAGCATATTGCCACCCATGTGCCATTTCACATTGCTCATGGCAAGATGACAGGAAAGCAATTGCTTCCACTGCAAATAATTTATAAAATGTGTGTCCTATGTCCTGGGAGCAGGAGTGAGCTTAGATATGACAATATGGAAAAAATAAAACAGGATGGATGTACATGAATTTGCCCTTTCCAAACACTTTATTTCTAGCTAAAAGCTCCAGGCTGTTACGATATCATCTCTGTAGAGGTAATGAAGTTTGGTACAGACAGCAAGGAAAGAAAACTCTCCCTTGCAAATGCACAACAGCAGTGGGAGGGAGATTGTGAAAATAATGGTAAAAGGCTGAGTATTTGCCAAATTGCTTGACATTTATATAAGCAAACAAAATTAGGAATGCATAGTAAATATTATTAGATATATTCATGAAGTAATTATAGTACAGTGGGAGAAAGATGAATAAAAGAAATGTATAAAATCTGGAACATACAGCATGTGCAAGGTGCTGGCAGTTTTATTCTGATAAGGGATCTGGCTTGAAGGTGGATGTCTGTTTCCTTTGCTTTTGCTTTTTACATTTCAATGCTGCTCTTAGTCCTCCATGCCTGAACAGACAAAAATGAAGGAGAAGGAGGGCCTGAAACCGCCACGGTCTCCTCTCTGCTAGCACGTCCAGAAGGGCTTGTCCTCATTAGGGACGGTGGCTGTTGGTTGTGGCTAGGTACCAGCTGCCTGCCTTCCCCACCTCCTCCTTGAGCCGGGTTGTGCCTATGACCTGGGGTGGGGGAAGAGGCAGGCATACCACCCCCCACCTCCCTCATGTTTCCCAGTCTTTCCTCCCTCTGCTCCGTACGCGCAGGCTTGCCTGCCTGCCGACTGCTGCTTGCTACCTCCAATACGTGTGCGTCGCAGTCAACAGGAGAAATGCTGTAGGATCTTGAACTGGTGGGGATGGGGTCCTGGGCCGTTCCAGCATCCCTAGTACTATCACCAAGCAGGTGAGTATAAACATATGAGGATACTTGGGTTAGAAAGGTATTGCCACTTGCAATTGTTTAACCTTTTAAGAGGTAAAAGGTTGACTAGGACAGCTTGTGTCTGCTGAATGTCTTGGTTCGTAATTGGGTCTTATTGGTGCAGTGCAAATAATAAATTATATTTTGTAACATTCTCCAGCAGAGGCAGGAAAGAATGCAGTTTTCTCCTGACACCTTATCCATGCAGGAGATAGAAGAGGAATTAGCTCAACTGCAGAGTACATCCAGATGATACTGAAAAATCTGACATTTCTGATGGGTTTGGGACTTGGAATTTAAATACTGAAATCTCAGGAAATTTTCACTTTTACCTCTAATGCCTTCTTGCAAGCACTCGTCTTCTGTCTTCATGACTGCAGCTCCCTCATTTTCCTGGCTTGCACAGAGGAAATATTGCTATGGCATAGTTGATCCACACTGCTGCTGCAAAAATCCACTTCTTAGTGACTACATCTCCCCTCTTTGTCAGTCCTTCTACTGTTCCGCCTTCTCTACTGCGTCAGGCACTTCATGTCTTCAGCAGTTTCCCCCCGCTTTCTCTTTTTCTTTGAGATATACCCTCTGGGCTTTGATCAGCCCGTGCACTCAGCATTTGTCTCCCTCAAGCTATCCCTCTCCATTTCCCCAAGCTTTCTCTTGCACTTTCACACAGCTCTGCGTAGGTGCCTCAGCCATCACCTCTTTCGTTTCCTTGATACCTCCCAGCGCGTTCGCTTTTTCTGTGATGCCTTTGTTGGCTCTCTTTTAAGATGCTGAGATGAGCTCTCGCCCACACTACCATACTGGATTTGAGCACAGTGGTGGCCTCTACGGCTAGGCCATCTAAAAGGTAATGTAGTAAAAACAACTATATCAGTCACCAGCTGATATTACTACTTCCATAGCCGGTGGCTAGAGCTGATTATCCTTACTTGCTCTTTTTGGCATTTCAGGTGCAACCCTGCCCCCTTATGCTTACACAGGACAGCATGGTTCACTGCAACTCTCTTTGCAATTGTATTATAACTTTGTATATATTATTACATACTATTTTGGAAATAGTGGAAATATATAATATTGCGCACAAGCATATAGATGTGATAATGCCAGTTACAGTCTCTTTGTCAAGGGAGGGCAGGCAGCCTGTGTTGATAAAATAAGGAATGGTGTCAGGATGGAGATGCTTTTCTGTTATTCCATTGAGAGGAAACAGAGAATCTAAGGAATCAGCCCTCTCCTTATGTCTCTTGGTAAAGCAGGCTGAGGCACCTGAATTGGGAAGCAGAGTTACAGCAAGCACAGTTACTGTGATATCACATCTGTGACTAAAATTCCCTTGACATTTAAATTTGCAACCACAGTACACAGTTGGTACTGAATCTGCTTTTTCAGGGAGAATAGTTTCTGAAACAAAATTATGTATTAACAGAGTTTTCTGTTGATTAAACTGTAGAGATTTCTGTCCTAGCTTTATATTGTGCCAGGATTTTAAGGAGATTAAAATGAAATCTGCTTGACATTTTAGGGTTTCATATGGGCCATATACTTAGGGTTTTTGTTTTTTTTTTTAAACAAAATATATTGAAGCCAGTGTGTCAACTAATTTTACCGTGGAGAAATGTTTTCTGACTCCTCTGGGCTCCAGTTATCAGGTCACAACTTCATTAGTTAAGGACTAATAACTAAACTGACCAGCAAAGTCAAGGGCCATTTATTGTTCAGCAGAGCCCCTTATTAAAGTCAGGGCTCCTGAAGCCTGCGGAGAAGACGAGGCCACAGCAGGGTGGTTGTGGCTCCAGGGAGCACAAGAGGTGGAGGCTCTTGGCTGCACTCATGCGTGTGACCGCCTCGTCTGGCATTGGGGAGAGCACTGTGGCACAGCCCCAGCTGGGCTCATGGAGACCTTAAATCCCTTCACTTCTGGACATACTGGCATTTAGCCCTAAGTCTGTATTCCTGGTAGATGACGGGGATAGTGCGTGATGTTTCTGCGGGTTATTTTTTTTCTTTCAAGAAGTTCACTTGGAGGGATACCAAAGCCGAGAGTCCAAGCCCTGCAAATTGTTAGTGTCACAAGTGGAGTGTGATAAAGGACCACCATGTCTGTAGGATGAAAGCAAGCCCTGATAATAAGGACTGCTTGCCCTGGGACTTGCTAGCGGGTTTTGTCCTGAATAAGCAGTGCCAGGGTGGCGCACTGGCCCGTCAGAAGGCAGACCCGAGCCAGGGCGGCCCGAACACTGGGCAAAGCCCCCAGGCGCACAGCCCAGCCCAGCCCTGGTTCACATGTATGAAATGCAAAGCGTGGTTGTCAGGAGCTGGTGGTAGTAGTCAGGCACAAGCTAACAAAACTGATTTGACTTTTATTTGTTCTAAGGTTAAATAACTACATCACCTATACACATGCTGGGTGGCATCTTCTCCCATGAGTCTTATCAAAGTCAAGAGGATCCTCCACAGAGCCAATTGCTGCCTCTGCAAGGAAAGGTAGCAGAAATTGGATGACTCAACCACAAAAGGAGATGGCAAGACAGAATCATTTGAAATATTGATTGAGAAAATTGGGTGTTAACTGAAAGTTAATTTTTCACAGTCCTTTTTTTTCTCTTGTGAAAATGTGCATTTTTTAGGGAAGCAGCCACACCACCCTACCCTAAATTTTCTATTCAAACAAAACTTTTCAATTTGTGGTTGTAATAAAGCAAAGAAAAAGTCATTCTATAAATGCTGAAATGAGAGAAGCCTGATACCCTACAGGGTATCCTTCTCTTTTCTGGTTAACTTTGCAGAGGAATTCCTTAACAGTCTGCTATCTCCAAGGGCACCTGTAGTCTGCTCCCTCACGTTATTTTGGTGGTGACATCTTAGCTACTGTGTTTGACTGCAGAAGCCAATTGCCAAAATCCAAAGCTATAGGGGGAGCCTATAGGACTGTATAGGACTATAGGGCTAGTTGGACCTTAGTCTGTCCTCTCTGATCATCTGTTGTCATTAAACTTTAGGAACTGGATGATCTTTGAGACTTCTGCCTGGGGTGGAATTTGGCTGAAAGTGATATAGATAGATATAAAAGTTATTCGGAGTGGGTGAGGGAATAAAGCTCGGACTGGGCACTAAATAATTAAGTATGATTGTTTGCTATGGTAAAACAGACTAAGAGTGGGGTTTTGAATTTCTTTCTTAATTTTTTTTTAAAGTAACCTTAAGTTTTTCCCAGGAAATTTTCAACAGAAGTAGGAAATAAATATTTCTCGCAAACTTACATAGGAAGAAGATTAATTTCCCTGTTAAGTGTATTTCTTCCGAGTGAGATTCAAATTTACAGTCTCGTGGGCCGCCGAAGCAGGGAAGGCCTCATTTGCGGTCCCAGATATACAGTGATGAGACCATTTACCCCATTCACAACCTGAGAGGTAGAGGGAACAGATAGGTCCCTGCTCCCCAACGTATCTCATTGGTGATAGGAGTGAGTACAGGCAGGTTTGTTCAGGCTGAATTTTGCGGCGTTACAGCATGGTCAGCAAAACTCCTGACTGTGGGCTAATGTCATAACCGAAACCCGTGAGAATAGCTGTGAAGGTATTAGATGGGGTAAGAGTGAAGATGGACCATGTGATACAACTAACTGCCTGTGCAAAGGGGTCTCCTGTAGATGCGCTTATTGATCTTCAGGTCTAAATGTTTCTGTGTTCTTCAAAGGTAATTAAAAGCTCAGACTGCTCCATCTCCCTGCATACACTTGCCATTTGAATATGAATGCATACTTTTAAAGAGCCTTGAGGATGCATTATGTTTTGCCCAGGATATCTGGCATGTTTAATTAGCTCAAGATTTCATGGGCTCTGTTTCCGTACCTTTGCTTGGGATTTTGGCATTGTACTGAATGAAGGGCTAAACGGGCAAGAGCAGTGCTCAGAGTATGATAGAGACATAGACTAAAGAAGATCCTGCAGAGACAGAGGGGGGCTAGAAAAGAAGCATAATCATTTTATATTTGTCTTATCTGAAGCTAAAGTCTCTGTTGCAGAAATTCATACTTCTTTCTTTGTAGAGAGCTGTTCTGAAAGAAAGAACAGGAAGGCAGAGGTCCTTTGCTATGAGCAGTCAAAACTGCAAGCAGTAAGATTCAGCTGTGTTACGTGACACAGATTTTCCCAAGAAAAGAGATACAAGAGGCTGCTGCATCCCCCTCTCCATCCCTAGTAAGGCTGCCTGCCTCCGCTTGTGTGCATCTGGCCGTGTAACTCGGCCAAGGCGATGTAGCGCACAGCCCTCCCTCACATCCAGTGCACGCGGTGGGTCTGGCCCTGGGGAAGGCCATCTCGGGGGCTTACTTGCAGCCACGGACCTGTCCTGCTGAGTGGTGAGGTCATCGGGGCACTGTCTGAGTCTTTTCAGGTGGAGCGTGAGAATAATCAATGTCATCAAAACATTTGGGGTTCACCAATGTTGACTTTAACAGCTGTACCGTACAATTTTCTTTATTGAACTTGGACGGGCTTAAACCGTAAGTGATTCAGTGATAGAAGGGATGAAAGCAGCATAACAATGCATTAACATTCATCCCCAGAGAACTGTTTCTCTAATGCAGTTCAAACCAAATGTGCTGCAAGGGTAGAGCTTTGAGAGATATGATGATTGTGTGAGTGACTCTTTATTTTAATTTATTTCCTGGAGGGGAGGATCTTTTTTGAAAGTGGCCCTAATTTTGGTTTGATCTGCATTGTCTGGGATTGTTCTTCATATGCAATCAATTGGATTTGCTTTATTAAAGGCAGCGTGGAGGCTGGATTCTAATTTTAGGTATTTGATGAATTTAGCACACAAAAATCTGCTAGCTATCCTTGTGCATATATTGTATTAAGTTTGGGGATTTCAGGTAAGTGAATTTAAACTTAAGATTATCTGAGATAAAGAGAATAAATACTGCTTAATCCAGAAAGACCTGATTCCCGGCAGGAGTCTTTAGGTAATAACGTGAAATGAGCTAGAATATAGATATGCTCTCCAGTGCTTAAAAGCTGTGCCAGAGGACAGCAGTCTGTCAAGGTCCTGGAGCACTTTGCAAAAGAAGAGGAGAAAGGTATTATAAAGGCATGGCTGTAAAGCAGAGATCAAGGGAAAAGCATGATTTTGTTCTTATAGATGTGATGCTGTAACTGGACTGTAGAAGGATGTGGCTAGCAGAAATAAATAACTCACCAGCTTTCCATTCAGTTTGTCTTTCACCGAAATTTCTGGCCCTGAAAACAGTGGAAATTCAGTGCTTCTCCTATATTTCTTCTTTATTAATTTAGTCACTACTAAACTCTTTGGCTTGGATTTGCTTTTTGTTTTAGGGGCTTTTCTCGGCTTGCTGTCCCATTAGATCTGGATGTGATAACAAACTACAGCCTAGGCATTGGGTATTTGGCTTGCATCTCTGCATCTTCCTGCTTGTAAGTATTTTATTCCTTTTTTTTTTTTTGCTTGCTTTTCACTAACTTTTAAGGAACAGATTCAATTGACAGGTTCTGGGTCTGATCCTAGGTCAGGATATCTTTGCTTTATGCTGATATAAATAACCGTATAGTGTGCAGATCAATGGAAAATGTAAGTGACAGAGGCATTTGACTCTATTTGGATTGAGCTAAGTTATGTACATGGCTCTGAGAGTTTCCTATTCCCAGTCCCATAGAAAACCCCAAACAAAATATAACTTGATTTTAACCTGCAACAAAACCATCTGGGCACTTGTCTTGTTAGATTTTAAAAGTCATAAATTGAAATCATATTAGATCATAATAAACAATGAAATTAGATCATAAATTAAAAGGCAGACTTTGCTTGTGGCAGGAAATAGTTTTTCCTTTTCCTTATGTGCACTTTTTTATTGAGTCAGTAGGTAACTGACCCTGGTTCCCAGACGCAGTGGTAAAGGGATTCCTGGAGGGTCCATCTGTATGAGGAAAAAAGGAGGAAAAAACCCAGGTATTCCTAATTACTTCTGGTCATTCAATTGCCAAAGGCATTTATGCAAGAATAAGAAGTATTAGGGATTATATTCTTGTTAAATTCCAAGTGAGCAACCATTCTTTGCCTTTCTTACCTTATCATTCTACATTTTCAGCTTCATAAAATGTTGCCAAATTCTTTTCTATTCAGAGCTGTTGTCTAATTTAGTCACATGATGTTAAACTGTTACATTTTTCCAGTTTAGAGTGAATTGCCTTTCAAGGCTGAAGAGTTTCCGGTGTGTAAAGTTCAGTCAATCTTTTGGAATGCGCACGTAAAAGGATTTTAATAGCATTAAATGCTTTTTGTAATGTTAGTTGGAAAGATATGTGATAATATAGTCTGTATACTAAAGGAAACAAATGTAGATAACAAAGGTGGAGGTGAAGAAGATGGAAGAATTAAACTGGAAGCTTGCTGGCCTTTGTGCATATATTAAATTAGCAAAGATCATAAAAAATCTTAATCTTTTTAACAGATGTAATGAAAACTTGCTGCCAGCTTTTGGAAACAATCACTATGATAACAGCACTTGTGGGTGGAGAATCGTTAATGATCAAGAAGTTTCATCCTGGAACTGGCATTACGCTATTGCTTGGGTTCTCTTCTGGGAATCTGCATAATTATTCTCCTGTTCTTTCTGCTCTGATGCTGAACAAAGGAGTGGAGGTTTTTTTCAGGTCATGAGGGGATGATATCATTATCTACTCACTCCTGGCTTAAATTTCCAAAATGGCAAAAAAGAACAGAGAACACACTTGTGAGTCCTTTAATAGAGATAATCAGTGTCGACTCTAATGAATGTTCTCTGCCTCTCCTCCCCTATTTTAAACAAAGAGCTGCCAGCCTATATATTGAGGAAGCAGTTGCTGCACAGATCCAAAGTACCATCTTGCAACTAACTCCCCTTTCCTAGCCCTTTTCTAGCCAGATTATTGGCCAGTAATTTTGAGTGCCATTTCCTAACCACAAAGATCCCTCATCATCAGGGGAATGGTCCAAAGTCATCCCTTCTGGTTATGTCTGTTTTTCCATCGACTATGGAAAGCCTGTCCTGTAAATGTCCTCACTATCCTCACTGCTCATACCGCAGGCTATGAAGTAAGTGTTCCATTTCTGGAAGAAATCAGAAATGAATGGAATCAATAAGATTTGATGTCTCCTGTACGTCAGCCTCTGTACGAGGCTAGCAGAAGAACTCCTGAGTCTAGGGCCCAAGCCCTGATGGCAGAAGTGAGCAGCTGTCTCTCTGGCTCCCTCAGTGCCGGGTGAAGAGAAGCCCCCCGGCATTTCAGCTCTTTGCAAAGCACTATGCAAAGTCTTCTCCGCTTCCCCCTGCCTGCTGACGTGTGAGAACTAGTGCGGATGTGCTTCACCAGCCTTCATGTCTGCATCCCCCAGTATGGAGCTGCATGTGTTTGCTCCCAGTTGGTAGTACCAATTCTTGCGAAGGCGGGGAGAGGGTAGGGGGGAGCATCATCCCTAGAGAGATTAAGTGGAGTTGACATAATCAAACCTAGCGACGCCAGTCTTCTGCAATGACTTTGACGGGGCCATATTTGATAGCGTGGATGTAACCTTGTGTGCAGTTGTCTGTTTCTAGAGCCTGAATACTCCAGCATCCGTTAGGCATTCAGGAGCTTATAAAGGCAATGTTTTGCATGGGGTACCCCTTTCAGTAGTATGAATAATTACACAGTTAGCCAAACCTCTGCAGCATAGGCCTCAAATGTTTGACCTAATGCCTGTGCCCCATGGTTGTGTGATCCCACCCACCTGCCCTGCACTCCCTGGGACTTTTATGTTGCTGACTGAGCGAGGAGCAGTGCGTGTGAGCAAGCACAGGCACTGGAGCTAGTCCTGTGGGAGAACTAGGGTGTACAGAGATAGTAACAAGAGGGTTATTGTGCTGGGATCCCTGGGCATCTAGCATGGGGCCAGTTTATTAGCCTGTCCCTCGCTGGGGTGATGGAGGGACTCCCTGTCCTCTATGGAGCCATCCATTCTCAAGAGATTGAAGAAACCCTATCTCTTTGAGCCAAGAGGATTTTAAGTTATTAGGGAAGGAAGGCAGATACCACTAGCAGCCTGTTGGTGTCTGAAGTGACAAGGAACCTCACTGCTGTAACTGATGTAAATGCAAATTAAGCTCTCTTCTGTTAGGAGATGTTTACAATAAGAAAAGCACTTTTCAGGATGCCTTTTACCTGTTAAGGAAGAGTTGCTGGGAGATTGTAGCAAAAAATATTAGTTTATTTAGAACAAAAACATTGATTTTCTTTGATGTCAGTCTGCTCTCAGCTTGAACACTTTGAAGCTTTTGAAATAGCTAAAATATTTCTCAGCTTGTCACCACAAAAAGTCAGGAAGAACCAAAAAACCAAAGTGTTTATCTGTGTCTGATAAATTCTTAAGAAAATGAATCTACTAGACTTATCTTTTTTCCCTGTTCCTCAATTTTTAGAGCCTCAGTAGTTATGAGTATGCTCCGTTAAATTATATTTCACTGATTCTGGAGAAACAGAGTTGTTGCATCAAGATACGGAGTGAAATAAAATACAGGCAACCGGACTGTAAGGGATTTATGACAATGACTATCTGAAAAAGCTCTCTGTTTACTGCATGCCATCTTGGAGAGTGCTGCAGTCTCATTTAAAATTCACGTTAGACTGAACTGGGAGACAAAAACTGTCTCAGTGATGCTCCGTATTAAATTACGTATGTTACATATATTTTGGTGCCCTGGGCATATACTAATTGATGAGGCCTCCACTCCTGAGCACATTTCAGTTTTCTGAAGAAACAGACTTTATGACTGGTGCCATCAAGGGAAAGGTGCAAATGGCTGATAGTTTTGACATAGCTACCCAGACATGACAGCGCATGGCAAGCCAGGGTTTGCAGGGGTTTAGTCCTTACGTAGTAATGATTTACTTAATCCCTCACCTCCCCAGTTTGCCCTGCTTTCAGTGGAGGCCAGTTTGCCCATGTCACACTTATCACAGGATAAAAGAAAAGATGACAAACTGCAACTGAACCTGCCTACAGTGCCTGTCATATAGCCCTACCCTTGGAATAAGAGTGGATGTCCTCACCTGTGAAGAATAAGTTATAGCAAGGAAATTAATGGAGGAACAATGCATATCTGCAGAGTAATACCTCAATAGTGGTTCTGTTCAAAAAGTGAGCATATAAAAAGACATCGTGAGTGCCAGCAGTCATATTTGGGAGTGGAGGTAAAGTCTGTCCCTTCCTCAGACTCTGAGTAGTTTTGCTGAACTGACTGCTGAAATTGGTAAATCTATATAAGCTTTTGCCCATCAGAGCAGCAAGGTTGTGTAACAACCTTTCAACTGGTGTTACAGAGTGAAAACTCAGGCGGTGTATGAAAGGGAGTGCATGACTTGTTACTTACCATAGCAGCGAGGAATGGCTCAACTCAAGCAGTCTCTTCGAGTTGCGTGTCCCTGCCCTGGGATTGTGTAGTTGCCTCTGAGAAGGTAATCTAGATCTAGCAGCGGCACAGAAATATGAGTTCTCCAGTGTACAGTTCTCCTGTATAAGGAGTTTTCAGGACTGGTTATTTAGGAAGTCAGACAAAACAAAAGAAGGATAAAGCATTCCTCTGTCAGAGTAAAAGATCCTCTTCTAGTTATTCAGGGATAACGATTGGACTTTAAGTTTACACTTTACCTTAAAACAAAGCAACTTTCCAACCAGAGAAAAGGGAAAGGCAGGGACCATTACAGAGTTTGAAAACTTTGGTTCCTTAGCTCTGATTTCTTTAATCAGTTTAGGGTTCTCAAAAAGACTAGGTGTTTATTACACTCAGTCAATTTCCATTTTGTCATAATATTTTGAAGCCAGTGACAAAATTCCCAATGATTTTACTTTGGACTAAATTTGGGCTCGAAGTTTTGATGTTCTATTTAGTTTTTGGTAATGCACAAAAACTATTCCCAAGAAAGAAGAAGTTAATACGCGGATTTATTGGGGGTTATTCCTTTGGGAGGGTTAGATCCCAGAAGAGCAGTCAAATGGCTGTGCCATTTACCTCCTTGTCTCAGAAGAAGCAGGGACTCGATCCAAACCGGTGGGTGTAGTGCACTGACTAGATATGCTTGTGGAGCCCCTCATCAAGGACTGGGAGGTCTTATCTGCCTCAAGGCATGTTCATGCAGTCCTAGGGTTATATGTTCATGCAGTCCTAGGGTTGTGTTGCTATATTTCCCCATCCCGAATTGCTTTTCCACCCTTCATACTACACTACCAGACAGACTAACTAGCTGAGTAGGTCTGGCTGTGTTCCAGCTTTTTTGCAAATGCTGGAGTAGCGCCAGGGAACTTCAGCGACGATCTGGATAGGATTCATTTATATCTCTGTACATGTTTTGTACCTTTTCTATCAATGCTATTCAGATGTTGGGACTGGGTAGGCTTATCCCATACGATTTTACTGTTAACTTCAACAGGATGTAGATGGTTTGTAAAAATCCTTTAGATGGAGTAGGACCTTACATTTTAGGTCCATGCTTTTTAAATGTGTGGTTAAAACAACAGGCATTTTTTTTACTCCTAAAATAATACCTCATTATTATTCCGGGGGAGTGAGATAAGTAAGATCTGGGCCATAGTCATTTGGAGTCAGAGTTTTCAGTGTCTCTGAACTCGCTGCAACATACACAATTTAAAAATAGCCCAATGAACATAGTAAGACCTATAAAGGCTCTGATCTAGCAAGGCACTTACATCTCTGCTTAGCTTTAAGCTCCTGATTAGTCCTATTTATAACCATAAATTTTCCACTAACTTCAAAGAAAGTCCTATGCCAAAGTTCTTCCTTGTACTGGGGCCAAAATTCTTAATAGTAAAAGTAGAACATAGCAGATTTCAAGTTTGTGAAGAATTTTAAAGTCTTTTAACTTCTGCCATGTTAAAGAATTTACGTGAATTAATTCCTTAAATTATATTGTAGAGAAACTCAATTAATAAAGGATCTGCTTTTCATTATGGTGAGTAATCAAGGATAAACATCTTTGATATCAAAGCCTATCTTTTAAAAAGGATAAATTAGCTATGAGACACTTAACTACTTCCAGAACATGAAATGAACACATATCGTTCCATTAGTTAGTTCTGGATCACTAAATTAAAGATAGTTCAAAAGGAATATAATCTCATAAGGATCTCTCTTTGTTCAGTCTATTGTGACTCATTTAACAATTTATGACAAATGCTGTGTCTTGAGGGGTAAATAATATTAGGGTTATAAAATGGCTTTGGTTTAGTATATTTTATGCATCAGTACTTGTATACTGCAAGGGTTAGAATATTTATATCTAATATTTGCAGATGTAGTTTTGTGCTTCTGAGTATGTTAGTACTCCTGGGATGCTTGATTAAGACTACCAAAAGCTCAGCAATAAAACAATATCCAGAATATAAATTGTTATCATTCAAAGCATTATGGATGTGTGTATACTAGCATATTAATGCAAGGCAGGCCATCAGTCTTTCATCATCTCTCCTTTTGAATTACTAGCATACTTCCTGGCATGGTTTTGGCCAGCTAATGTTCACCAAGCAATGCCTAGACATTAGGTTAGGATTAGGATTAGCCTAGGATTAGGATTAGGTTAGGGTTAGGACTGGCCATTATTCATTCCCGAAGGCAGTTGTGACGTGGCCACCCTGCCCTTGAGGAGGAAAGGAAGTTTAGCCATCTTGATGGAAAGTGTGCCTTGCATGTTGTTCTTGAGACCAAAGAACAGCCTTGTCCTGTTTTATGCAGTAGTGCAGATTTAGCTCTGTGCTATAGGAAACAAATAAGGGTTTAAAAACAGGATTATACCACTCAGTGTAGTCCTTGTTATTTTCAAGCACTTAGGGCTTTCTATGGAATATAGTATAATATTCTGAATTAAATTTAAAGTGTGGAAGTATGGTGGTAACTCTATGCAAATAATTTCAGAGACTGAAAAGCAAACTTCTTGTCATTTTCAGTGAGTGTCTCCCAAAGCTTCCATGTTCTAACGGAGAAGAAACAGCACCAGCCAAATGGTATCTTACCCTTCTTAAGGGTCATTAGTTCAGACTGGGGCCTTTTTGGTTACTGCTAGCATCAAAAAATGTCAGCCTCTTGAAGAAAAAGGTGCTTTAACCAAGTTAGCAGTAGTAGTATGTTTAAAGGAAAAATTATAAGGCAGAGCATCGCAGGGAAGTGTTGGAACACTTTCATGGAAACACAGGAAGATGTTTCAGCAGTTGTGTGACGCATAAAAAGAGAAACTTGCAAATGATCACACTGTTATTTGAAGGACCTGATTCTGTCTCTTTGAGTCATACTGATAGTGTTTGCTCTCTCTACCACAATGAAAATCAGTGGGATTTTCCAAAGAGCAAGACGTTGTTCATTATGAGTTAGACTGGATTATTTTAATTAACCCTGAGAATATCAGCAGTGAAGTAGAGGCTGTACTGAAGAATGCAGTGTTGTCTACAATGGCACTTGGAATCTGTGATAAGAACTAGTTAATTCAGGAATAAATTATTTCAAAGGGATAACAAGTTTTTTTCTGCACTGGGTAGTCTTTTTTACTTTCTGAGATTGTGGAGATGAAGTTTTCCAAGGACATTGCATAAAAAATCCATATTCCCCTTTTCAGGCCTGATGGATTGTGACCTGGACGTGTGCCAGGAGACTTAAGATTGGATAAGGCACAGTGCCTCCAGGGAAGCAGAAGAAAAGGAGTCCTGTACCTCCTTTTGGGTCTGTCTTTTGAGTCATTTGGGTCTAGCAAGAGCTCCCAGGTTTTCATGATTCTCTGTAGAAAACCTAGCACTGGGAACAACATTAGACTTCAGCATCTTTCAGCTCCTGCAGATCTGGTAAAAACTCTTCTAAGGAACACAATAACGGAAGGACCAGCTTGTGCTCTTTCCTATGTGTTCTTGCAGAACGGAGCAAAACAGAGCCTTAAGGCACGTGAAAAGATTGCTATCTCCATTTAACTGTAGAACATCCACTTGCATAATGGAAATATACAACTGTTCACCTACAGAACAACTGTAAACCTGCAGAAGACAAACGTTAGCAATGGAAAATCATTCTGCCTACCCTCTGTGAAGTGGCGTTCATGAGAAGTGCTCCACAAAGCCTGGGAACTGAGAGTTACAAATATTGAACGGAGACCACAGGATGAGGCCTAAAGCAAGATCAATATGAGAAGGACCACTCTGGAAATGCAGTTCTTTATGGATATTGTCTTCCCAGAAGGGAGGAAAGCTCACCACCTTTTTTTACAATATACGAGTATGTGCAGTGAGAGGTTGACCATGGATGGATAAATAGAAAGATAGGACGTGGATGATATATACAGAAAATGAGCTTGATGTCCTACCCATTTACATCTTGCATTACCTATTTGTATCAAAACAAAGTTAATGGATTATGGCATGTAATTCATCTATATCACAACGTTAGCTTTTTACAAGCATCCCGTTATCGCTGAGCCTTCCCTTATGCTTCCAGTCTGTACTTAGGGATTGACTACTGTGCTTTAAAAAAGCAGCTTAGCATACGACGATCTTCTCATCCTGTTCTACTCTGACCTTTGCCAGCACCAGAGCTGCCATGTTTAAACACAAAGTGGCTGGAGGCAAAGCTTTTCCAAAGCTGACCTCTTTTCCTCTTCAGCATTCATTGCCCTGAGAAAGTCCTCTCACACTTGCTGAGCTGCAAGGGCTGCCTGTTTCCTCAGGATTTTGCTTGTAGGTGATAGAAGCGGCAACTTTTCACTGAAATGTGCCTGCCAGTGAGATCAGTATTAGAGCAAGACACATTTAAATCTTTGAAATCATTTCATCCATGTTATAAGCATACAGTAAGAAATTAGGTCTGGTGGATTTTCTGGTTCTGGTTATTTCAGGCAACATAGTATGGAATAGCAGCTAAGGGTGGTGGATTTCCCGCCCATCCTCGTGTTAAACAGTCTTGCTCTAGGATGACAAGCTGAAGTCTTGAAAGAGATTTTCTCATTCTTTGACTAGCTTTCATCCAGACAAATTTGGATTGCCATACTTCTGTCCTGCACAAAGTGCGAAGATATTTGGATTTGTTCTCAGTTAAACAACCCATGGTGGGAAAGGGTGAGTCTGAATTTCAGTTTATCCCTATGTTTTGGCAAACAGAGATATAAAGATAGTAGTTAGCTAATGCTTTTAAAATTACAGCTTAATGCTAAGGAATAATAATTTGTAACTGTTTAGAATTGGATTGTCTCAGGTACACAATTAAATCACATTATCCATTAGTAAATTAATCTTACTTTTTTTTTTTTCCAGTTCTGAAGGAAAGAATCTTTCATTACCCTGGGCTTGAGCAGTAAAAGATAAATGTGATCACTGGCTGACTCGTCATCTCTTCATTGTGATGGAAGAATGGTTGTCTAAAATAAATCCTTTGTTATGCTGCTAAAACTGCCTTTGAATCCAAGATTTGTGGTGATTTTAAAAACACAAAACCAAAAATGCCAGAACCAGACTCTTCATCTGGATTTGTAGGAAACATGGAAAATGGGACTTTTCTGGAGCTGTATCCTACATCCCTGTCAACTTCAGTGGATTCATCATCTGACCGTTTATCCAATGTCTATGTATATGTTTCTATATTCCTTAGTCTCTTAGCTTTTCTCCTTTTACTATTGATCATTGCACTCCAGAGGCTGAAAAACATAATTTCTTCCAGTTCCTCTTACCCAGAATATAATAGCGACGCTGGGAGTTCTTTCACTAATTTAGAAGTCTGTAGTATTTCTTCCCAACGATCCACTTTCTCAAACCTTTCTTCATGAAAATAAATGAAAGGGAAGACACAGGGAATGGAGCGGCTTTGTCTAGCTTCGTGGGGAGGTAGTGCATGCAGCATTTAGAAGACCATCACAAAGAGGTGACTTTTAAAGTTTCCTTATCTTTTTCTTTCCTTTTTAGCCTTCATTTCCTCTTTTACTAACGTTTATTTTCATTTCACAAAAAGGAAAATGACACTCAATCATTTTTTCATGCCTCTAATAGTGATACCGTCTCTCTTTTACACATTTATGTGCATTCAGTAACGGTATTCCTGCCAGACTGTAATATGGTTCTAACTGGATGTGTCATTTTTCTGCTGTAGTTGTGACCCCTTTTCTGGCTGTGTTTCAGTAGTACTGCTGACTTCTTTTCTTTTTCCTTTTTTACTTAGATAAGGACTTCTTGATAAAACCCGTAGTGCAAAAGTATCACAAAATCAGCTTAAATTATAAATTGAGTCCCAGGACAATTGAAAGTTGTTGGTGTTGTTTCTTTTCCAATTTTTGTTATTATTTTCAGTATTTATTGATGTTTATAAAACAAGATGAAAATCTACTTCCTGAAGAATATTACTTTCGTTTATTTGTACTACCACATCTTTCTATATAATGTCACCGTATTTCTGTTTTTGAATCTCTGAAATTTTTGGTTAATTTAGTAAAGCAACTACAATAACTATGCTCACTGGTGAATGTATAGAGAGATTTTTGGACCACATTGCATATAATTTGCCTAATGACTTGTTTCTCTGAGGGGGTGTTTTTTTGCTGCTGATTCATAAATGTCACACAACTCCTTTCCATCCTTCACTGAGGCTGTAGCTTGCTCTTAATGAGTATCGATACAAAACGATGGGCTTCTTTAGGAGATCTGCCTGCTATCACCATAGCTAGGAACTGTATAGTTTCTATAACTGTCCTTTCTTCTAGGCACAAGATATTTGTACTCATGTGAGTAGGCCCAGTAGAGACAGAAATCATTTGCACTGGTGAGAACTTCCTGGGCCACACTGTGCCTGTAATTTCACAGATGCATGCAAGGGTGGAGGGGGGACACAGGGATCTGCGTAATGGCCAGGCAGATCTGTACTTTGACGCTCCGGAGGTGCAAAGTGCATCTGGAGGGGGTGGGAGGAGATGGGGAGGAAAAAGGCCAGTGGCTGTGCCCTTCTCCCATATCAGCCTCAGGAGAAGCCAGACATGCTGGGGTGAAGAACGGGTGACCTTGCACATGCCACTACCCCTTGCTATGCCATAGCCTGCCTTATGACTTCCTCCTACCCGAAATGTTACCCAGCACTCAATTTCTGCTGTAAAATGCCTAGCAGTATGTTGTATAAGATCCTGTGGTCAGCTGTGAAGTAATTAAAATCAAATGTGCAAATTAATTAAAATCAAATGGTCAAAGATATGATTCAAAATGCAAAGTGTGACCTACCAGGCTTGCAGATTGCAGTCCCATACTGTGCTGTGTTATTCCTTGTTATCCTTATCACAATACATGAGCAGAGCCCGGTCCTGCTTCCGCTTAAGTCCCTGCAAATTTTGCTATATTGGCAGCATCCAAGTCACTTGGGAGCCCAGGGGAAGGGCATGGAAATGTCACTGCTGTTTCTGTTGCTGGCTTAGCAGCGCTCGTAGCTTTGGGTGATGGGAAGGTCTCAGCAGGAGAAACGTGTGTGACTGGTCTTACGAACTGCTGCTGCCCATGCAAAACTCCTCCAGGGACACACCAGCTCCTCTCATTGCCCAGCGCAAAGTGGCATGCAGTAGAATCACGTGCTGTGTTATTTGCTCAGCAGCCTTAAGGGTTAAGGATAAAGGAAAGTCAAAAAGGGTTAAGGCCATAGTCAATATGGCGAGCTGCATGCAGAAGGCTTCCCAGCCAGATTTTTATGAATACCCTCCCTCTGAGATATCAATTTGTTTATCAGCAGGATGCATTCTGCCATTAACTATACAGTCCTTAATGGAAAAGTTTTAAAAGTCCAGTGTAAACATAATCATTAGAAACACAGCTATTCAGTGCCAAACAACATACAGATTATGCTGGAGTTGGTGTTCTCAATTTTTAAAAGTGAACCTATGGCATAATAAACGGTGATGGATTTTGGTGTTGATTAGCTCCTTACAAAGGTTAAAGTATTTGCTGACCCGTAAAGAACTTAAGCCTATAGGATCTCTGAGCCAAACTGTCTTTATGAATATATTTTGTCTCTTGAATATTTTATTCATCTAGACAAAATTTTCCTGTGATATGTTCCATCATTTTTCACTAGTACTTGACGATAGGCCTTGAAAACACAGCAAATTGTTTAAAAGGCATCAGGAAACTTTATTTCCTTTTTGAAAGCTGTTTAACATCACAAATCTGTAACATAATGTATTTGTGTGTTGACTTGTAGATAAAAATAAATGAACTTGAAATCAAGACAGAGCAACTTTTCAGTTATCTTCTCTTACCTATGAGGTTATAAATTCCTTGCTTCCTTTGCAGCAAAATGTGGGAAACTAATCCAAAATAGAGATGGGTATTTATTCCCAGCAGTGTGATATTTCCTATTACTAGTTTAAGCTTATTGATATAAGACCTTTAAATATTAAATATAAACTGTTGAAAACTCATTGGCGTTCAACCAGCTTTTGTCAGACTTCACAAGGGCAAAAATTATTTTTCAGTCTGTACAAAGTAGCAAAGGTGACTGAAACCACACAATCAGTTTTGCTTTATAGTTTACTAGATACTATTACAATATTTTTTCCACTCTGCAGTGACATATGGGACTGTATACAGTCATCATGATTTCAGCTGAGTTGCACCTGTTCTTCCCAGGACAGATATAAGTTGGAACAAGTTGAATCCAATAGCGTAGCCTCAGGAGAAACCGCAGGCAAAAGGCACCATGGCATTTTCTAGGATTACTAAGGACTATCCTAGCTTACCTGAGCTTGAGTTAACTTGAGTTAGTGTTTCAGGGATTTTTGCGCTATGGTAAAATGAAAACCAAATTCAGTTCTTCATATTCATCAAATGTCTGTGTTTTCTGCCTCTCTCTCTCTTCCTGTCGTTGTCACACACATATGTGCACATGCACAGGCTTGTGATATCCTGAACACTCGGGAAAATAAAGCTTTGATGTAAACTTCTCAGTGAGTTCTACAAATAACAAGTGTTTTCTTAGCAGAGTAGGAATAAAATTAATTTTATTGTTCATGCTATGTCTTACATGCCACCTGCATGTAATCTGCACAGAAATCTGCTTCTGAATCATGATTGGTGTAGCCCCAGTTATGACTGCCTGAGGTAACCTTGTACGCACACGTAGTTGCGTGTACCACAAACATCAGGGAAATGCAGTAATGGTGAAAGTTAGGTGGTGCGTGGCTTTACAGTTGACCAATATGTCCACGGGTGATACCCTTTTCTCTCTCGGAGGGAACACTAGGGGAATCATTATACTGTCCAAAACAGCAATGGATCTCCTCCATTGCACTGCCAGAAAAGTAGTACCCAGAGGCCCAAACAGTGATTTTGAAAAACTCTTGAGAAAATAAGAGTATGGCTTTTTAACTCTGAAGGATAAATCACTATTGGACCCACTTTTGAAATTCTCTCTAGCTACCTGACCAGTGACTTTAAAATATAGTCCATTACTTTTAGCTGGTTGTATAGACCTCTCAGCAAACGAGACACTGTCCCAAACTCTTCCTGGAAGAAAAAATTTTTGCATGTGATTCATGAACATAAAGCCCTGTAGTGTCTTACTGCAATCAGTGAGCATGGGATTGGCATCTGAATTCATTTCTATGGCTCCAACAGGCAAATCTAATTTCATCTCTATGTCACCAATTGGCAAACCGAATCCCAAGTGGCCTGAGCGAGTAGAGACACAGAGGGAGATCGGGTGAAAAGGTATATGATTTCTTTGCAGATCAGGACTTCTTAAATATTACTCAGGCATATTTCCTACCAAATTTATCTCTGAATTGCAATAGAAGTTCAGAGCTGGACAGCTGAAAATTTTTCCTTGAAACTCTTTTCAATTAATGACACATTTTCCTAGAAATTATCTGCTTCCTACAGCAGATTTTTGCTGATATGTTTAAGCTGAAAGTTGAAAGTCTCCTACGAATTGGAAGATTTTTGGTTGCATGAACTCATTTACACACATAGATGATAGACCTGCGAAGTAATAGTTTGTTCATCTGACTTAATGTCAGTGCAGAACCCTGGTGGCCTCTAACTCGCTGCCTCCTCTGACGTGGTTGCTCATCTCTGGAGCTAAGAAAACCACGTCTCTGCTGAGGGGGTGAGTTGTTCAATAACGTGTTATTGGAGAGCTGCTATGTTGCTTCACAGTCTGTTCCTCCTGCCTACAGCCTCACACTGTCCAAACAGCTTCCCCACTGCCCTTCTGTGGTGTGGGTTCTCATTTCACAGCAGTTTTTGCCCTGGGCCTTAAAAAAATTTTTGTAAGTTTTTTACTAAGTAACTGTTGTAGCAGAGGCCCATCTGATTGCAATAGAGCTGCCATTAGCTTCAACGAGATACAACTCAAAGACTGCATGGCTTAAGATAGTTGCAAAGTATACCTGGAAATCGCTATAAAGAAAAATACCAATACAGCAGGGATAAGAGAACAGCAGAAGGAGCTTCTGGATCACACAGAAAAAATATTTTGCTTTAATTCAACAAATATGTTCCATTTACTAGTATTTCATCAAGAGTACCTGTTTAAGCTTGTATTAGCTTCTGTATCTAAGATTAGACTCTTTTGTGCTGCTGGCCTCACCGGCCCTAATGCCAGGTTAACTCATGACACTCATCTATTCTTTATTTTACTGATTTCTTCCTATCTCTTTCTTAAAACCGTGTCACCCTCTTTACTTAGCAACTCTTCACCTATGTAGAGAGTTTATTCTGCTGAGTCAATCTCTCCTTTCAGCCCTTCTGTGTCTGCCAGCTCACCTGAAAGGTTTTTCTCTGCAACTCTTGACTCTTCTCCCTACAAATATCTTCGAATTTGGTAACCATTCTTATTCTTCTCCTGTGCAGCCGAGGGCAGCAAAGTGTTAAGCCTGGCCTGTTCTCCCTCCTCTTTCACTGTCTCATCCAGGGAACTCTTGGTAACATTGAACCCCCGTGAAGCCTCGTACTGCAGTATACACGAGCATTTTTCTTTCAGAATCTTTTTTTCAATGAGATTACTGGGAAAGGCCTCTGCGTGGGAAGGTTATTTATGAGGTCTATATACCTTCCGTTTTTCTTGACTGGAGTGTTTTTGCTGCATCTGTTACAGTTGTCTAAGGAAACACTGCGAATTATAGCCCAGCTGCTTCCTGAACTGAATGGCCTTTTCAAGTTTGCAGCCCCTCAACCGCTCTCAAAGACAACGGCCCCACACTCTGTGGCTACAGCAGAGGATTACTTGGCCCAAATTCAGGGTGCAAAGTAGCCCGAAGATGCTGTTTTTCTCCGAGAAATAGGCTTGCTCTGCATTAAGCCAACATCTTTGGCAAAGTTAGAACAGCCTTCAAACTGCTTTACACTAAATGAGCTATGTGATCGTAGTCGGCCTGACGTGCAAATGGGACTCACCTGCAATCACAGCCCCACTGTCAGGTCATGGCTCAACAAAACTCCTGGCTCTGTAAAGCTCTTCTGGAAGGCTAGTGTGTAGGAAACCTTGGCTGCATCCTTTTGCCATAGAACGCCTCTGTTACACCAGAAATCACAGAGAGCATAGAAATAGTTAAAACTGCTTTAAAATCTCCATTCTTGGCCCATCTTCTACCAGCTACACTGGCTTTAAAGCCTTTTCTCACATGTGAGGTGGCCCAAGCTGGCTAAGGCACCACCCCAGAGTGGAGCTACACCAGAGGTGTTTCTTGCTGACGCAATGGGAAGACCTACTTACTGCTGCTCCCTGCTCTGTATTTTGGAGATAAAAGCAGCATTAGCCTCCTGCTTATTTGCGCTCAAGGCCAGGTAAGTGCATTAGTGTGCAGCACGTTCTGGCCTATCAGCACTGGTAACCATCGTGCAGGCAAGCGAGAAGCAGCACCAGTTACAGAGGTTTGCTGCCCTGCACAGCAAGGTCAAGGCTTTCCATGCGATGAGCTGTTTCTCACTTTTTTGGGTGTTTTCAGCATTTTGGAACACCCACTGTAAGTCTGAAAATGCCAGCAGGTGGCTAGCAGCATGTCTAAGACTGCTGTGAGCTTTCACTAATTTGAGGTGGGCTCCTTTGCTTGTTTAAATTTACCTCCTGTTCCTTAAGGACAGCAGCAAAATGGGTGAATTTCCACAGATAATGCACTCACCAACCAATGCAGCTTTAGTACAATTAACTTCTGTGAACAGCTTTATTTGGAAAAGTAAAAACAAACGAAATCTATTTTTTAAAATACAATCTCCTGTATAATTTTTTTACAAATAGAAACTTCAAAAATTATCATTGGAAAATTATATTTTTCCCCAACACCTATTGTACAAGATGGAGACTAAGCTGTTAGCCGGTGCATTATGCCTTCACTGTACCTTAAACACGCAGACCAGTTTGTCTTTTGTCTTAGAATATTAGTTATAGTCAATACATCATTTGCCAGGTTTTATCTTGTGCCTAGGCCCAGCAGTTGCTGACGAGTGAAAAATAAGTGCAAAATGTCATTACTACTGTCTTGAAGGGCTTCGAACGCTTATTTTCAGAAATGCCTTTTCTATGCCAAGCTGATGAAATGGATTAAATCCTTACTCTGGATTCGCAAGGTAAGCAGGCTCTCTGGAGCTTTTGAGGACAACGAGCTGGAGGAATAGGTTTAAATACACGTCTTGGCAATCTCTCTATACTCTACAAATTGAGAATGAGTGCACCCTTGTTAAGTGAGAGGACATTTTCAGAGCAGCCTAACTGATAGATGTATGAGGCTCCCTGCGTAGCTTGTTGTCTAGCGGTGGATCCTGCCCTCCAGCTCAGGCAGCTCCAGCTCTAGTGCCTGGAGCGGCACGCCTAGGGCTGGCTGCCGAGGTACCAGCGGGACTCATCCTGCCTTTGCAAACAGCTTCTTTGTGATTCAGAAGCTGCAAGTAAACAATGAGACTGGTAGATGATATTAAACAAGGAGAACTTGCAAACACCTGCCAGGCCAAAGGAATAATACAAAGGCACCTAGTGAGAACAGAAGCATGGCAGGAAATAAAATGAGATGCAGCCTGAAAAACATGCAAGTTAAAGTCTGAGGCAAAATTCAGTTGAGAATTTTGTGGATGGGAGAAACATGGGCAGCAGTGACAGGAAAGCAACTTCTGAGGAGAGAAGGTGGTGAATTAGGTGCAAGTGGGCGATACTGCAGCCAAAAGGTAAGTAAGATTACCATCCCCTCCACGAAGCACAAGGTCCTTTTTTCTTCTGTGCTCAATACCAGTGCTTG